CTGTGAAATTCATGAACGATGCCCTGGTAGTCGAAGAACACCGTCAACATGGCCTTGACTTTGCTGGGAGCCTTCCTCGATTTCTTTGGATTCGGCTCATTTTTGAAGCGCCACTCCGATGCCTGTTGGATAGTTTCCGAATCAAAGCCGTAAATCCATGTTTCGTCTCCAGTAATGACCCTCTTCAAAAAATTTGGGGACGTCGGATGGTTTATCGCCCAACAAGCTTGCAAGACGTCCGTGGCTCACCTGAAACACGCAACCTGCTGCGTGCTTCATAACAAAATACCTCGTAAAGGATGGACTGTTACAAACTACAAACTGTGAAAAACAATCATTTATACAGATACCTTAAATCAAGCACGTGCTTCAGCCGTTTTCAAAGCTTACCTATTTATGATAAAGGATTTTGATTTATAATCCTGTCGAATTTAACTAGACACAGAACATCAGAATGTTTTAGAGTCAACACGTTTATAGGTTAATATTCAATAAAACTTTGAAATAAAATCTGTGGTTTTTGTACAGAAAGTAGGTTATATAAGTAGGTTACATAATCACCTTGAGCAAATACTAAAAACACGAAATCATGAGGCGAACCCGGGACCATCTGTGATGATCTAAGACCATGGAATTATTGTAATATATCCAAACATGTAATACCACATGTGTCACCACGTGAATGTATATAACCTGCTATTTACTTGCACTATGAAACATCAAATAACATCAATATGTACTGCTTAAGACTGCAATAAAGTATAGAAAATGTAAAGATAAAAGGAATGGAGTATTACAGGAGAAACTTAAGTGAAACTTATCAGGACTAGTACAAATAGGAAACGAGGCTTAAGAAACCCAGTCCAAGTTTCACGAGGTCATGGCACTCCTGACAGATTTAACCTTCCCCCTGGTTACGTCAGAAAGGGCAGTGACCTGCCTGGACCCGTGGAAGCTATAAAAGGAGGCTCTCAAACCTAAGTAGATAGTACGTTTTCTTCCATCCGCGAGAGCTCTTGGTACACGTCACATCGATCGCCAGGTAACCCTTACTTGCCTGAATACTCCTCTTTCCATTCCTTCTTGACGACAGCTGCTACTTCTGTGGAATACCTGTTTGCTTATTTCAACTTTGAATAAGCTGTGTCGCCTTCTCCACGACTGCATGGTAGAGGTGAAATCGATGCTCAACTAGCATCAGGTAACACTGGTCCGAGAGGTACCAAGATAACACAGATAACGTTGAAGAGCCGACAGGATAGTGAACACCAAGGTACAAAAAGTAATCACACCACTGTCCGTACAGAAAGATGGAACAGGAAAAAGAGGAAGGTTACCAGGAGCACCTGGAGTTCGATCCCGACTCTGAAATCGGCGAAAACACCACTAGGACGCAGAAGGTCACACCCATCAAGAAGAACGACGCCCCGCCCCCGCAGGGTGCATCAAATGTTCTAGGAAGTTTGACGAGGACGTTGCACCAGCTGTCCGCTGCGGCCGGACCAGCACGAGAGGTGGAGCAACCGCGCTACGATGGTTCCTACGAAGCGCAGAGCTTCTTCGCCAACTACGAAACCCAAGCAGATCGGGCCCAACTACAATACACCGAAACACGGTGAAAGCTACCAAACCTCCTGAAAAGTAAAGCCCTGTACTACTTCCGCAGCCTAAAATTAGATAGATTATACTACGGTGAGGCAAGGCAGGCCCTGATAGACCTCTTTGCTGAAACAACAGATGCGTCATTCGCATGAATCCTGGCCATTAAGTTGTCGGATCGCTCCTCGTTAGAGGAATATCATCAAATAATAATAAAAAAAGACGGTGAGTGGCTTACAGCTCAATCTGCCCCACAAAACTCTAATAGAATCCTTGACTGATAGGTTACCCGTCGCCGATCAGCACATTGTCGCTGCCGTGTAACCAACTACCCTCTAAGAGTGGTATAATTTAGTGTCGCGAGCAAGAGAAACCCACAGTGCTTCACAAGTTGCAAAGAGACGACCAGAACAACTCCAAACCGAAGTACAGTGCTCAGTGATCGTAGTCAGCACGAACAACCTACGCTGCTAATCCATCCCCAGCACCATGCAGGTATTGTGGCTCCTTGAATTGGCACGCCCAGTGCCCCAAAAGGCCTGCACAGAGCCGTTCCACACCTGCATATCGAACAACTGCTTACCCACAGCACGAAAGAACTGTGTTCTCCTCTCCAGCACCCTTCCGAGTTACCAGCATGCGGGTGCATGTTACCACCTTCGCTGACCCTCTGTCACTGAACGCGCAATAAACTAAATATTTCAAAAATACGAGTATAAATTAAATATCATAGCCCCCTATTTCGATAATTTCATTATCTTTCGGATACGTTAGAATAGCATATTCAACAGTTAGAACAATTCCTGCAGATCTGCCAACAGAAAAATATTAAAATAAACTACAAAAAATATATATTTTTGAAATCATCAATATAATTTCTAGGATACACCGTTAAGAACTGCACCTACACACCGCTGACCTGTAGGCTCGTATTACATCTGTATCAGGATGGCTTACTCTGCCGCTTGTACTGTGACCCCTCCACCCAGGGAATCGCAGGAATTCTAAACTAGTACATATGGACGGAAAAAATCATCCCAACCAGTGTTACATTAGAACACTACGCCCTCACGAACGCAATTATACCATTACAGAGTTGTAATGTTTAGTGATCGTAGAGAGCATAGAAAAATTCCGCATCTATCTATTCGGTACCAAGTCCACTGTCTACTCCGACCACCAAGCCCTACAATGGATTAAAACTATTAAAAACCCTGAGGACGACTTTTTAGGTGGAGTCTAAGACTGTCCACCTACGACTATGAAATACAGTACCTCAAGGGTTCACAATAACACATGGCCGAATTACCTTTCGGCAATCCATTTTGTGGATTTATCAGTGCTAGTACCATTTGGGAAACCAACGAAATCTAACGGACCCCTGTGTAGACGTTTACGTTCTACACATCATACGGCGTAAAGGTGTAAATCGAATAATAAATACCGAAGCTCTTCAACACTCGCTTATGAACCAGATCACAGCGAATACAACCAATGCGGTATCTCACAAATGATTCGCTTAATCTCTACCCAACATTAGTGGAAAGGTATGGCCAAATCCATTTAAAAAAATTTAAATTCCTGTCCTACCTTCAAAATCATAAAAAGAACCAAAGGTAAGCTCTATGGAACCATATGACAAATTCCCCCACCACAACAACCATTCGATTTAATATCAATATGCAATATACGGATTGTTGAAATACGGATACTCCAAGACGTATCTTTATGTTATATTTAATCACTTTACCAGATACGCTTTGCAATTCCCATCGAAATCTACCAGTACCTTAAAGTACATACAAACCCTTAAAAAGATACTACAACAAGGGTCTCCAAAACGCCTAATTTCGTATAGAGCGCCCGCATTCACATACGAAAAATTACGCAAATGCCTGCCATCCCGCGGTTTTCAACCATTACTTACCACCAGTAACAATCCGCAAGCTAACGGAACGATAGAATGATTGAACGCCACAATCAATGGAAAGCTAAGGCTACTATATCTCGAAAACCCAAAAGACATCCTGGACGAAATAAATTAAGCAGTTTGTCCAAACCTATAATCAATCCCCGCACACCGTCACAGATTTCTCACCGGCCTTTTTGATGTTTAATAGCATCTCACTAGATTTAAAAAAAACATTATAACCCATTCCCTGGCGTACAGAAAGCTAGGCAACTTGCCTTCAAAAGAACTCAGATTAAGCATGAAAGGGGCAAACAGAGATATGATAAAGATCATCAAGCCCTGCATTTCGAGATTGGTGACCTAGTCCTCGTGAAGAACAATAGACACCCCGATACGGGAAAACTGGCACCATATTTCACATGCCCGTTTACAATTATAGAGATAATATCTCCGAAAACAGTCCGAATTAATAGACCCAATCGACCCCTAAATAAAGAAGATGATACACACATGTGAACAAACTTTACTAGCCGAATGACCCGGTCAACGCCCGGGGTTTACCCGGTTAAATGCTTTTATTCAAATACTATTCGTTACAATTATAAATTGGCGCCGTGGATGTCATTCTTGTATAATATATAAATGAGTTTTAAAAATTGTAAAAAAAAAAATGCATCGGCCGGGAATCGAACCCGGGGCGCCCGCGTGGCAGGAGAGCATTCTACCACTGAACCAAAAGCAAACGGTGACAGAATTAAGAACGAATGACGATGATAACTGTATATTATCCGTGACAGAGGCGGCCGATGAGGAAAGACGGTCGTGACTATATATAGTAATAATCCAAACTGTATCTTATCATGGATGTGGTCTTGTTACCTTGTGTTTATAATCTATAATCCAAATTGTACCTTATCATGGATGTGGTCTTATTACCTTGTGTTTATAATCTACAACGCCCGGGGTTTACCCGATTAAATGTTTTTATTCAAATAATATTCGTTACAATTATAAATTGGCACCGTGGATGTCACTTTTGTGCAACGTCCCGCTCCAAACTTTGTGTCTGAGAAGCGATATTTTTATATTAAGATGATCTGGCTTTTGTTTTCTGCTGGAATGAATGTTTTTCTGTTAGAATTTAGTTCCTGCGTACAAAATAATGAGCTGGTTTCACCCGTGGTCTCTGCTTTTTGGAATTTTTCCTGATATAATTTTGTATCTGATAATCTTACATGATACAGCAATATCGTCATCATCATTTTCTGACTAATAATATATAGTTTTAATAATTGATTTATATATATTTTAAAATAGCCTATCGTCTTCCCCGTATTTTTTACCTATGTATGGAAATTTTGGTTTGAATTAGTGAACTACTGCGAATTTGTATACCGGACATACAAACCAACAAACAAACATACAAACATTCATTTATATATATATAGAAGATATAATATAAATGAGTTTTGAAAATTGTTTTAAAAAATGCATCGGCCGCGGGAATCGAACCCTGGCCGCCCGCGTGGCAGGCGAGCATTCTACCACTGAACCACCGATGCTTTAAAAAAATGGCCATATTTAGGTATTCATTCCATTCCGGATTAGTCCGCGTAAAAAAGGTTCTTCAAATGAAAAAAAAGAAATAGCCAAAAATACTAATCAAAATGCAGCCGAAAATATTCCTCAGGTTTATAAAAAGCGACATGCAAAATTTGGTACCAATTGGTGCCAATGATGTCCCAGACGTGCTCGATTGGTGAGAAATCAGGAGAGTACGGTGGCCAGGGAAGCATCTGTACATCTTGCAGAGCTTGTTGGCTAATGCGAGCAGTGTGCGGTCGGGCGTTATCCTGCTGATAAAGGGCATTGGGTACCCCCTGAAGGTAGGGGAGTGTCACCGGTCGCAGCACATCATCAACGTATCGTTGGGCCGTCATAGTGCCCTGAATACGAAGTAAAGGTGACCTGGAATCATACGCGATTGCGCCCCAAACCATGATTCCACGTTGTCGCACGGTGGGGCGTTCCACAATTGCTGCCGGATTGGACCTTTCTCCACGTCGACGCCACACGCGTACACGGAGACTATCACTGGACAAGCAGAAACGCGACTCATCTGAGAACACGACCCTGTGCCATTCCGTCATCCACGTCGATCTAGCCCGGCACCATTCCAAACGTTGACGCCTATTCGGTGGGGTCAATGGCAGTCTTCTTAGCGGACGGCATGAGTGCAAGCCATTAGCAACCAATCGACGGGAAATGGTTCTGGTCGAGATGGAATGATCTAGGGTGTCTTGCACATGTTGCAGGATGGCGGTACAAGTGGCTTGTGGGGCCGCCACTGATTGTCGAAGGATACGCCGATCCACACGTGCTGACGTCACTCTGGTTGCACCGGCATTCCTATAAATTGCCACATTTCCTTGTTCCAACCATCTTCTCCACAGTCGGTGCACCGTGGACGCACCAAGGTGTGTATCAGCTGCGATTTGACGTATGGACCAACCTGCCCTTTTCAGTCCGATCACCATGCCCCTCGTAAAAGCGTCTGTCTGCTTGAACTGCCTCCGTTTACGATGACCTGGCATTCTCTTTTATTACACGTGTCTTTTGACACAAGAACAAAATTTCTACAATGATTTTCCTTGAAGAAATAACGACACGAATACTGTCCTTTCTGCAAGTTCCTTCCATCCAATCTTACTCCATGTGCGCACGAGAGCTGCGCATTTTACATCATTTGAATAACTCGGTTAGGCGCGTCTACCCTGAAATTTGCATAATATTCTGGCCACTATTTCTTGGTGTTCCATTTTCAATGTCACGCAGTGTATAAGTAAAAATATATTCACACACACACACAAGCCTTTTATTGGGGCATCCAGCCCTATAAATGATTCCCCTCTACAGGATTTAGCAAAGGAAGATATTTCAAAAGTAAAAACTAGAATACAAGAAGTGATAAGAAAAAAGAAAAGAGAGAAGAAAGAAAAACAAACAAAAAGAAATATAACCATATATACAAAAAATAAGCATACAGAGCAAAAGGCACCATACATAATTAAATATTTAAATTAAAGTACCAATGTTTAGAATATGTCACGGTTAGGATATCATTGAGAGGGCTAGTGTGGAATCAGCCGCATTCAGTCTTCGTTTTCTTCCTCCAAGCAAACCACGACATTCGGCGAATCCATTATTCTCCAACGGATAGCCTTCAACTATTTTCCCTTCTATTTCGTCGAGTAAATTTTTGCAGTTGGTCAAATAGTGTTCGTTTGGTGGCAAGTAAGCAAAGATCATACACACTCGCATTTCACCGTCCAACCTCAGACAGATCATAATCCATTGTTTTTCAATTTCAGTCCTTTCAATCTTGTCTTTTATAGCTTCTCGAATCCCAACAATAATTCCCCCCGATGATCTACCCTTCTTGTGGTCTCTCTGAGCAAGTGATTCATACAGATGAAATCCTGTTGGTTTGTTCTTCAGATGTTGATCCTTCCATGTTTCTGTGAGTGCAAAAATGCTGCACTTTTCTAAATGTGTGATTAGGTCGAATTGCAGCAACATCCTTTCCAATCCATTAACATTCCAACACAGCACTTGTGTGTCGTCTTTGAACGAAAAACAAGATTGTTTATTTACAGTAGTTTGCCCATAAGTATTTTTATTTACAGAGGATTGGGGATTTGTCAGTGGCTATAAAGCATTGTCGCCACTTTGGCTCATTATTCTACCATTTGTAACGTAATAGTCAATCCCACCAACTATGAGCCTGTTATCCCGTAGTTTCGTGGCAATACCGTTTCCCATGAGTTCTTTCCTATTTGTGATAAGTAGTTTCCGTTGTTCTCTAATCTTTACCGAATAATCTTTATTCAAATAGATCCTGGTGTTTTTCAGTCTGAACCTGTTTTTGAAGAGCATGATACGCTCGTTGTGTTCCGGCACTTCAATCAGAATCGGCGAGTTTGCGTTTTTTGTTAATCTGCGACATTGCTGGATAGTGATGTTTTGCTGAATTTGCATTTTCTCAGAAATCAGGTTCATGATTATAGCACGAGTATCCGTTGGAGCCTCGCCCTCCTTTCCCTCAATTCCGTAGAAAATCAAATTATTTTCTCTTTGCTTCATCACGCAAAGATCTAGTCTTCTTTCAAAATCGTCTATCCTCTCCGAGTTAATACGCACTGCTTTAGCAGTTTTCTCAAGGGATGTCTCAATATGTTGGAAACGTTGATTTAATTCCTCCATCCCGCTTTTCAGCGAAGATAGTCGGGTTTCCAATCTCTGACCTAGATCGTCTATTTTAGTTGTTCAAGTTGCTATCATTTCAGCTAGATCTTTCTCTCTGTAAGATTCCATTGTCATTTGTTTAGCTGACCTAGGGCCAGGGTTTTGCTCTATTCCTGAAATTATCAATAACATAAGAATAATAGATATTCGATTAGTTTTTGCAGCAAAAGCAAGGTCTTTCATATTAGGAATTTTTGCCGGGAGAATTTGCGTCTTAAAATTTACATAACTAACAATGAAACTACTTTCTTTTGTCTTCATAACTATGCAAATTATGGCTACCAAAAATAAAAATTTCATTTTAAGCAGTTTTACCAGAACCTTTCTGATATAATCCAACAAGTTAGAATTAAATTCCAATATTAAATAGATACAGAGTAAGAGGAAGAGAAAGTATTTACTTATCTGGGAAATAATTGTAGCACGGAGACGATGTTGTTTGCGACTTGTCTCGTTGGCCACCTGGCGGAGAAATCAAGTAAAAATATATTCATAAATTTAACTCATTCCGATTTCATATATAATTATGGTGTACACAAATTTATAAAACAGACAGCTAGTTGATGAAAAAATGTATAAAGAAATACGAAATAAATTAATCAGAGACAAGAGTTATACTTTTTCTAATGATAAAATCATTTATTTTGATAATATTCAAATCTGTTCAATAATTAAAAAACTTAAAAATGGCAAGGCTCCAGGAATAGATCATATAAGCAATCAGATGATCAAAACGGCAGTTCATCATATATCTCCTGTGTTAACAAAATTGTTCAATGCTTGTATGGGACTTAATTATTATCCGGAGGCCTGGAGAAAGTCAGCAGTAATGATTATAAAAAAACCTAATAAAGAAAATTATAAAGATCCGAAAGCCTACCGCCCTATAAGCTTGTCTTCTAATTTAGGTAAAATTTTTGAAAGTCTAATTCATATTGAACTTTTAAATCATATTAATAGTAATAATGTTATGCATCCTGCTCAACATGGATTTACACAAGAAAAATCAACAATCTCTGCTTTACAAGAAATAACTAAATTAAGTCTTCTGAAAAGAGAAACAGAAAATACGGCAATAGTAACAGTGGACATCAGCGGAGCTTTCGACAACGCATGGCATCCGGCAATTCTCCAACAATTGGACAAGGCAAATTTTCCAGCGGTACTTATAAAAATAATTAATTCTTACTTTGAAGACCGGAGTGTAGAGTTTAAATATACTAATGTAAAGTGTATAAAAAAGATAAATAAGGGATGTCCCCAGGATGGTATTATTTCTCCTATTCTTTGGAATATATTACTTAATGATTTCAACTTATCTTTTAACGAAAGTTTTGCTAGAGTAATTGCTTTCGCGGACGATGTGACATTTGTGGTATGGAGTTCAAACATCTATGATCTTCAGTTTAATATTACCAAATGTTTAATAAAAATCAAAGCATGGTGTGAAAAGGTAAAACTTTCACTAAGTCCAAACAAAACAGGTATACTCTATCTACATAACTATGAAAAATTGCCTATTAATTTTGATGGAAAAATAATTCAACCATCAGAAACTGTTAAAATTTTGGGAGTTATTTTTAAAAATCATAGACAAAGGAATAAGATTAATTTTGAAACACATGTTGACAATATAATTATGAAAGCTACGAAACTTAAGAATATATTATTCTCATTATGTGCACGTACTTGGGGCATTGATACTCGACGTAGATTGATCTTATATAAAGCTATGATACGCTCTACAATAAGCTATGCATCAAATATTTGGTTTCCTTTTATCACTGCAGCAAAAAGATCCAAGTTGAATTCTATACAATATCAAATTCTTATTAGATGCATTCATGCTTATAGGACTTCATCTTCTTACATCACACATATACTAGCGAAAACCCTTTACTGTCCGATTATCTTGAATTATTACAAACAAAGTATAATATGACAAATTCTCTCACAGATCGAACACTCAAAAAACCCCTTCAAAAAGAATTAAACAAACTATATCTGGATCTAAAATTTAAGTTTTATCTTTCTCAATCTAATGAACTGTTCAAGAAATTCTTTCCAATTGCTGTCCCGAATTTCATTTCTTCTGATAAATTCACTACTTTATTCTTAACTGGCAAAGGACCCTTCTTAAGTTTCTTATTCAAACTGAATGCTATCAATGATCCAACATGTGAATGCCGCTTAGATGTTGAATCACCAGAGCATCTTCTTTTATCTTGCCCTCTGACTAATCAAATTGTATGTAGAT